TTTCTACACTATTGAATGTAAAATGTTTAAAAATTTTTTTTTTTTTTTTTTTTTTTGATAAATCAATTTTTTTTGCGCATTCTATACATAGATATTTAATCATTATATAATACTATTTCCGAGAGCCTGTAAATGTTCTCTCTAAAAACCAAATACGTTATATAACTATTTTATATATAATATATTATACATCAATGAAAAATATTTACAGCATTGTTCGGATGCAGACACAAACAAGTGTTGCTCATGTGCATGGGTTTTTTTTGTTGTTATGCCATCCGCGTAACGACGTCGGTGACTTTGGAGGCGATGACTAACGCAGCCAATGCCAATAGTGATTTCGAGGTACGTACCAAACGATCGAAGATCTTATTTTTTCATCTAAAAAACCAAACACGTTTTTTTCGCTTTCTTTCCGAAGGAGTTTGATTGGGAATTGTCAGTGAAACAGCTGATCCTCAGCTCCTTCTTCTGGGGTTACACCTGCACACAAATATCCGCTAGTATTCTCATTCAACGATGGAGCGCTCACAAATTGTTCTCGGCAACGCTGGTCCTCTGCGGCTTGCTGACTCTCAGCACTCCCATTGGCGCTCATTACGGCAGCTGGGAGACAATGATTGCCATCAGAGTGATATGTGGCCTCATTCAGGGTTCCGTGTTACCGTGTCTACACACCCTGTTGTCTAGATGGTCACCGCCAGACGAGCGTGGCAGATTTTGTGAGTACGCACTTCTTCTTTTTCGATGATTTTCTTTCTTTTGTCTTGAAAAGATTTACGAATATATAAATGGAATTGGAATTGGAGGAATTAGTGCATAGTTTTATTTGTTTTATTTGATCATTTAAAAATAATTTTATTTTTACGTGCACTCTTTGAAAATTATTTATATTACGTTAATTATTATAATATTGCATTACTATTATTATATTAATAAAGCAATCAATGTTTTTCTACCATTTTTGTTAACAATAAAGCGGCCTAATTAACAACTATGTTAATCTTGTCGAGTGCGAGATATAGACAGAAGAAAATTTTGGTAAATATTGACAATAACGGACCACCTTCCGATTAACTTAAGCTTCATATGTTATCAAAATCATTGTCCTGAGTAACATGCAAAAAATTTTAGCCGTCGCTCGTTGTTTATTAAAAAGTTATTAATATTGATAATAACAAGTCAACCTCCGATCTACTTGAGCTTCACATATGTTGTCAAGGACATCCCTAGGCAGGGAGGGCTGCGCCCCTGCCTACACACTTACAACATGAAAAAAATGTCCATAATGTCGAAAAAAATTTATTTATGAAACTTTTTTTGTTTGTAACTTTTTTATAAACAATGAGCGACGGCTAAAACCTTTTGCATGTCATTCAGGACAATGTCCTTGACAACATAAGGCTCAAGTAGATCGGAAGGTGATCCGTTATTGTCAATATTTACCAAAATTTTTATCATAATTCAAATCGATTAAGTACATCGAGTTATTCTAGACTGACGTAGTTGTAAAAAATTTTTGCAATATCGCGCACTAAAACAATTTTTACAGTTTTCTAATTTAATCTCATTCCTCCTAAAAAAAACTCTATTACTTTTTGCAAAATATGTTTATTTTTCTATATTTTTGCTTTTTTTAGCGTCATTTGTTTATTCTGGTGGATGGATTGGTAACGTAGTATGTTTACTGACTAGCGGCTTTTTCGCGGCATCGCCTATCGGCTGGCCCGGTGTTTTTTATGTTTGGGGCAGTATCAGTGGTCTCTGTGGTATCGTTTTCTATTTGTTTGGAAAAGATTCACCCTCCGAACATCCCGGCATACCTCTCGATGAAAAGGAATACATCGAGATCAGTCTGGGAATTACCGAAGTCACTGAGGTAACGCATTTTTTTTCAACAAATAAATACAAAGACAGAAAGAAAACAAAAATCATATTAACTCTTCAATGCTTTCAAAGACGTAGGTCTTTTAAACCCACACAAAAGGTTTAAACCGGTGTCTCTACTAGGTATTAATTTAGCGCAATATCTAAAGGCCGTAAAAAAACTTTAGGGTCTTAGACAACGGTAGAGGCCATTGACAACGTCATTCGTTCAATAACTTTGCAAATATTTAATTGTGAAGTGCGAAAAGAGTCTGAGAGACCCAGGCCTGGACAAGACGGCATTTCAAAAAGTAAATTTTTTGTAGTTTGAACATTTCTAATATATCAACTAATTGGTGTTTTTTTTATAATTTTATGAAAACAATTTACGATTTATTAGATAACGGCGTGCAGAGCAGTGATGAAAGATTTGACCGGCCATCACCAAGAGTGGGAGCCACTGGGAGACGCACCAAGCGAGAACCGCCGTCCGTGTGTGTGACGTCACTCACGGACGGCGGTCGCTTGTGTGCATGCTCTCAGTGGCTCCCACCACCTCGGTGCTGGTCAAATCTTTCATCACTGGTGCAGAGTATGCGATTTGCGACTACGAGAGCTGCCACTTGTGAAATATTTGCGAAGAATTATTTTTTTTAAACGCTTATATCTTAGAAACTACTTAAAAGGTTTTTAATCTGGTTTTTTTTTTATCAACGCAGAATCGTTCAACCATTCTATTAAAAACTACAATAAGTTAAAATATTCATTTAGTGCTAACATATTATATGTCAAAGTTGAGCGCTTGAAAAATGCATTCTTCAAAAAACATACCAAAAGACCTACTGTGAAAATTTTAATTTTACAATTTTTAAAAAACACTTTTGCCCCTGAAAGTACGAACAATTCTATACAAAATGTGTTGGAATTTTATAAAAAGTTGTGGTCTATCCACCATCAGTTGCGTTACACTCTTTACAACTACAATGACGATCATTACTGCATTTCTTTAATATTGAGAAAGATCTAAACCGAAGGTCGAAACGTCTATTTTGCATCAATGTTTTTTTAATAAACCAAGAATTACAACTACACACCACGACTTCTGTGTTTTGCTTCAACAGCCATTTCAACGCCTTCTTTTAAATAATTTGGAGCGTATTGCCATTTAATACTTATTTATAAAAACCCTAATTTCAAAAAAATTAAATTTTTAAACAAAAAGGTTTTTTGAAAAAAACATTGTCAGGTTTTTCTTTAAACGCTTATATTTTCGAGACTACTGGAGATTTTTTCAATCTGTTTTTTTATCAACGCAGAATCGTTCAATTTTTTGATTAATAAAAAAAGAAATTGAAAAAATATTGATTTTTCGCGGAGATATTTGATCTTAAAGTCGCGTGAGTCTCACAGACCCGGACAACTCGTAGATCACTTTCGAGGTCTGGTCATTGAAGAGTTAAGTATATAGGTGAAACTTTTTCCTCTTGCAAATATTTTTTATGTTTTCAGAAACTCACCACTCCGTGGAAGTCTATGTTACGAAGTGTACCGGTCTGGGCGCTGTTAATAGTGCAGAGCGTGCAAGGCTGGGGATTCTGGATGTTGTTGACTGAAATCCCAATCTACATGACGTCGATCATGCGCTTCGACATCAAACAGGTGAATTTCCAGCAATCTCGCAAATAATCGGAAATTATAATATAAAAATCTTTATCTTCCCGTTACTAAGACTGTTTTTACAAAATCTCGAATACCTTGAGATTAGCGCTTACAATGCGTCACGCACATGCTTCAACCTTGATAATTGTGTCGCTTTCGGAATATTAATTTGACAAATGGGATAAGATCATGATGTGGAGAATGATTAATATGTACCACGTAAACCTACCATGAATTTGAGTTTCAAATCGGTAGATTATTGCTAACCAATGATGTAAACATTAGATTAATTCAATGCCATCTTGTCAATGAACGAGTAAATGTGACGGTCAAAGAAATTTAACAAACTTTTGATGTACATTTTTAAATTACTTTTGATACAAAGTTTTTTTTATATATCTTTGTATTTTGTATTTTTCCAAAAATTGTTTAATCAGCTTTTATTCTGATGTAACATGTTATTGCGTGTCAGCTTTGATTAGTTGAATAAGTGAGAAAAAAAATTCTTATTTTAAATTAATCAAAGCTACATGTTGTACATAACATTTCAATATGAAAGCCAGCTAAGATAAAGAGAGATAATGAAATATTTTCCAATTTCTTTGTATAAAAGATATTGAAAATAATTTATGCAAATTAAATAATAAGAAACGATCCTGATGAACCAATTAGTAGAATGTTTTGCTGATTAAAATTTAAATTTAGACGTTTCCACATAATTTATTATGAAAAAAAGTAATCTCCTTTCTCTCTCTTTTTCAATATTTTATCAATATAAAGTAAACTTTCATTACACAGAATGGACTGATGACCTCGTTGCCTTATTTGACGGCGTGGATTGTCAGTTTTCCAGTGAGTTATGTGTCAGATTTAATTATCAAGAGAAACATCGTGAAAACGGAGACGTGCAGGAAAATCTGCAACACGCTCGGCCATTGGATCCCAGCGGCTGCGTTAATTGGAGTGAGCTTTGCGAGACAAGACCAGCCTGAATTGGTCGTGGGCCTCCTTATTCTTGCTGTGTCCTCCAACGTTGCAATTTTCTGTGGTCACAACGTTAATCACATGGAGCTCAGTCCGAATTTTGCCGGTGTGCTCATGGGATTCACAAATACTTTCGCATCGTGTTGCACCATTTTCGCCCCGCTGATCGCTAGTGTAATCGTCAAAGATTCGGTTCGTATAAAACTTAATTTGATATTATGTATACTTACAAATTGATACTTTTGATTCTGTTACATATATTCGCTACATTTTATATTTTTTTAAATTATAAAACTTAATAATTTCTTTTCTCTTTGTTTAGACTGACATTCTGCAGTGGCAAATTATGTTTTGTTTATCGGCTGGAATATATACAATAGGTAATCTAATTTTTGTTATATTTGGTACCAGCAAAGTGCAAAAATGGAATGATCCGGTTGCGAGCAGACAAGACAGTGTTGTGCGAAAAGAGAGACCAATAAACATCGCGACAGTAGAGGAGGAAAAGAACATTGAAAAAATGCCATGACATTCTATGTAAAATAGAACAATTCCATATTTATTCTTTTTTTCTTGTCTTCCACAAGTTGTATGTTTATTTTCAACTGTGTGGATGTGTGACATGCGTGATCTCTTGAACGACCTAGAACATTGATATTAAAAAAAAAAAAAAAACAAATATCCTTAAACTTTATATCTTAAAGTGCAACTTCCAAGACTAGAAAATATATACAAATATCATAAGTTTAAAAAAGTAAAATAAGTATAAATAAAAAAATTTGTATAGTGCAAGATATATATATCAGAACTATTTTATCTTATATTAACTTATTTATTTAATATATAAATATGCATAAAATATTAATAGCTCTAGAACATCTCGTACGTTGAAGTCTTAGTTACTTCAGTTCTTTTTCTTACGATTTTTTAATGTATTGGCCCAAATAGCATATCCAACAAATACTGCACCGATTATTGTTATTAGTAAGGTGATACAAGTAACAAATGTGGAGAATAACAAATTCCCAACTGGTATAAGCCATATATAATTGTGATTGTTTAATATACGATATGAAATTTCACGCCACTTGGTTGCCAAACCTACACATGGCTGACAAAGGTTTATTTTTGAAACTCTATGGTCCCTGATTCTTCTGTAGCATCCTAGAAGAAGCTTTGGTCTAGGTACATATACCTTAACATAGTCACTAGTTTCACAAGCGTAATGATAACGCTGATGAAGGGGAATTGTTAAATTGAACGATGAGGAACTTATAGATGCACATGATGTTACATTCTGATGGCCTGCCTTCTCTGCAAATAGCTCAACGTCGGTCTCACCTACAGAACATATTGTAACCTGAAAATTATGTTACCCATTACTATTACATTAATCAATTTTAATATGTACTTATATACTGTTACATTTAAAACATATAAATGAACGATCTTAAGATGTAGAAAATTATAATGTTTTTTTTCAATTATATATACTGAGAATTATATATAATATATACTATTCCTTGTCAGAGCATTGGTGAGAGTAAGATGCAGTAATATGAAGGAAAGCAATAAATACTGGTTAGGAGAAGATAAGAGAAAATGTGCATTCTGCAATGTAGGACTATATGACATCAAACATTATGTAGTGGAGTGTGATTGTAAAAGAATGGCTATTAAATAAGTTAGGTAAAGATACAAAGGAAAGATTAAAAAGAATTTATAATTTGGAGAAGGAAAAAGGCAGGATTTTAGTAAAGTTATGGAAAGAAAAAGAAAAAAAACTTAAAGAGAAAAGGAAAGTAGAACAAACAAATTATAGTCAGAACAAAGAAGAAGAGATAGAAGGTGTAGAAAGTTGATAAGACAGTATAGGCAAAAAAAGAGATGGGGAGTAATCTCTCAGAATTGCAAAGAATAGTATAGTAATGCATATAATTTAATATGGAGAGAACTTCCTGTAAAGTAATAATTATAGTATGTTGTACAGCGATAGTTAGAATAAGATTAAGAATAAAGATAAAAAAACCAAAGAAAAAGGAGGATGCAGGTGTGTAAGAATAGGGAGAAGTTATTTCGATAGTCTATATAAATGTGTAAATTTGTAAATTTTGTAAATAATAATGTAATTAGGATAAGATACATTGTATGGCTATAAGGGAAGGAGGTGAAAGGAAGGATATGTAAAGTTCCTTTCTTGTGGCCAAAACGGCTGAAGTATTAATAAATATATATATACTATTCCTTGTCTTGTTAAGTCTGCTACTTCGTTCACATTAACATATAATGCAGACGGTAACTCCATGTAAATGGCAGCGTGACAATTCTCATAGGTGAAATTCTTCAAGTTTACATGATAAATCAACGTCCTACAAAAGAAAAAGTTGCGAGCTCTTGCATTTATTTTCGCAGTAAATAACACATTCCATTTAACCTGTGAAACCCGGTTCCTTTTACATAAAGATTGAGTTCAGCTTCAATTCCTGCACAAATTTTCACACATTGTAGGCACAGAATCAGTGTGATGATAATTCGCGAGAAATTGGACTCGGAAATGTATACTGTCATTTTTCACTCTTTTAGATCCACACACTGTCACACGTGTTTGTAAACATTTGTCAACACTTGTTGAAAAGGACGTTCTACATTAACGACGCATAACAGGTCTCGCGGAATTGAGCAATCACGTTGGTGGCTAATTGGCTGATTTGATCAACGTGATTGACCAATTCCGCGAGGCCTCCTAGTTGCGTTGTGTCCTGCGCTTAATGTAGAACGGGCTTTAGAGTGCAGTCTGGTGCAACTTTGGTGGAAATAGAATAAACCTTATACACAGCGCATTCAGAAAGAATTGAAAGAGAGAACAAACTTTTAGCTAACTTTATTTTGTTTTCGCCTTCGTCTCTGCGTCATCTTCCGTTCGTCTTTTGGGTGTTCGCCTTGTCCACTCCGTCCGCACTCGTCTCATCTACGTCACGTTCGGAAACAGCACTCGTGTACACACGAGCGTCATTCTATCTTTGTTTTATATATAATGAGTAATAAAGATAAAATATACACTAGTGATGTTTCCGAACGCAGCTCTAAATGTATGGTCGCGTTGCTATGACGCATACTTCGCCATTCGTCGAAAATACTAAATCGCGTTCTCGCGACATTCTAATTGGATTTGCGTTCCGCGACGCTAGGAGAAAATGTGTCGCGAGACAACGGAGTTGTTGACAGGAACTCGTTAGCAAAGACGAAAATGAGAATTGTGTTTCTCGCGAAGGAATTTCGAGATCGCCATACACGAGAAATCATCTTGTCCAACTTGTTGAATAAACATTTCGTTTGTCTCGTGTAATAATAAACTTTAAATTAGAAATAAAAAAGAAAAAAAAGTAAAAAAGATTCCAAGTGCCTTTACTCACATGATTAATTAATGTGCTGCTGAAGCGACCATCTGGAAAAATACTGTACTGAAATCTAAGGAATTCTGAAGTTATCAAAAAAATTATTTATTTACTTACGCGTAACAACCTACGTTTTGACTTAAATTTACCCATTTTTATTATTTGAAGTGAAACCTGTTTTTGGTGACTGTGTTTTCCAAGAATATCTACTTATCTGTTTGTTTAATTAATTCCTATTGAGGAAGGTTGCTATCTTAAGCAAGGATGTTTTTGTAAGCATGTGACAAAATATTTTTTGAGTACTTAAATCGAATGTGGTCAAGAAGATGTGTCTCGACGCAATCTGGCTTCCATAGAAGTGAGGCATTGAAAATGTAGAGACTTTATATATTAGTTGCCTGTGAGAAAATATTTGCATTCAAAAAAAGATGACACGCACGGAAATCGTGGCTCTTGTTTTAATTTTTGTTAGCATATCTGCCTACGAATATGAACATACTACCGCAGATCAATGTGATTGGTCTGGAAGGTTAGTGTTTTATTTTCAGAATTTTTTCTCATTTCTCTTTTTGTTTCGAAAAACTTATTGCTAACAAACACAAAATAAATTATTTTATTGAAATCAAGTTTGAATGTCAAATTGATATATATTTTATAATATTATTAAATATATAAACTACAGTTGTTTAACGTAATAACATTAATGAAAAAATATAAAGTTGCTATGATTATAAAATTACTTGATTTTTTTCATAAAGCAGCTTAAAGATAATATTGTAGTTTTTATATTTTTTTACTTATGTTTGTAATTTATATTACCGAAATATATATATATATATATATATACTCTTGTTTAGCGGGGGAGGAGAAGATGGTGGCATCCGGCCAGTTTATCTCCGATGTGCTCGAGGAACAGTACTCTGGCGTTATCCTCATGGAGCTTTGAGAGTGGTGCTGTCCTTTCCAGTCTCAGCTTCAACGAGTCTCTCCCTGGATAATACAGGCTTTCGTACCTGCATTAAACTCTCCGGACCTGTGCGGGCATTTCTGGAAGCTAATGGCAAATTGAGGCAACTTTATTCTCCAAATGATGGAAAGCATGTACTTGCGCACAGATGTTTTCGCGCACAGAAGTCTACGGCAGCACTCTACATAGAAGCAGAGGAAGATTATTCTTTCAAGAATGCTAAAGTTAAACTCCAATATGATCTGGAACCGAGCTCAGTGAAAGGTGGTGCTCTACATATTCCAGATGAGGAAGAGGAGTGCAGACCCTGTTCTATGGAAGAGCTTGCCAAGGCTTATTGCCAGAGCGATCTGGTTGCCAGAGGCACGGTCTCTGCTGTTGAACAGCAACTTGATATGGATACTGCTGAATTGATATTTAGGATCACCAAGATTATGCGTCAAGTGAATCAAGAAATAGAGGTAAAATAATTTTGATTACTTGCTTAAATTAAATTATTTGTAGCAATTTGTTTAACAATTGAACAAAATTAGAAAATATAAAATGTATATGTTAACAGGGTAACGAGAGCAATGACGTAGCAATGTTTTCGAAGAAGAAAGTACGCATAAGAGTACCAGTGGTGTGCGACGCGCGACATGGTCTCGGAGAATTCGTGATAATGGCCAAAAGACGTCTCGGAGATTTTATTCTAGTGTGCGCGCCTAGACTGGAGATGTGGGCACAAACCGTACGCGAGATGGACACTGCACCTTGCGTTCTTCACAGTTAGTTGATTCGATGTAATTTTCTTCGAAAAGCTTGTAAAGAATTTTTATACGCCGAATAACAGGTAGGAGTATATAGTATTGTTTTATAAAAGTTGTAAAATTAATCTAACAAGCGATACATTACTAAAAAAAAACAAAATAGCTTATCTAGCCGTTTGTATGAGAATGTTATGTACATAGGGAGCTATTATTCTTCGTGTACATAGCGCGCATTGCCAGACTATCGATCTCTATACTGTGATATTATTTGTTGCATTAAGATGAACACGATGGAGCGTGCACGAGAGGACACATACTGTTCTAACATATGCTCTAGAAAGCAAAAATCATACAAAATATCTTCAATATATTGTGTATTTTTTCTCTTAACGAAAACGTTATTACAAGTCTTTTTATAATTGTTTTACATGTTTTCACAATAATCGGAATATTATAAAACTCTTTTTGTTCAGACACCAGAAGGACAAAACATAAATGTATGTAAATAACTTTGTTAACATTGCTTATATATATATCATATACATATATATATATATATATATATATATATATATATATATATATATATATATATATATATATATATATATCACCAAGAAGTGCGCAATGATTGGAACAACCTATGTACACCAAAATTTTACGTAGGCGAATAATTTCGATTCACGTAGAATATATTTTGTTTATATCGAATACAATTTTATAATAAAATCGTACAGATTTAAGAAGCGTTTTTTAAATACCATCAATAAGTCGGGAACACTTGTTCTAAATCTCATTTATACAACAAAGGAGTTGTGTGATAAAAAGAAAACAAATATATGTATATTTGAAATATAAATGAGGAACTATATATATATATACATAAATATATATATATATATACTTCTCAATCTGTACGATTAACGCACATGCTTATATACTACGTGCAGCTAAATCGCAAACTATGAGAAAAAAAAAAAGATTTTTTTCTTCTATGCGCCTCTGTTCTTTTATGGCTGCTGTCGATCTTGACCTAATGTATCTTGATCTAATGGATAGAAAAAAGCGGAGCTAGTTGGGCCACTTTTTATTCAAACTGTTGTAAAGAATCTTCACATAATTATAATAGATTAATGAGAATTGTTTAAAGGTAGCATATCCAGTTCAAGAAGTAAGTACTCATAGATCCTTAAAATATTGCGTACATAAAAGTAAAACTATATATGTTGAATGAAAAGATATATGCCCCATAAGTGAAGCCACCCCGATGAGTAAGTTGGAAAAAAAAGTATAATTGTTTTATAAGGATTATATATGATTCAATGACAATAAAAATAGATGTAATTTAAAAAAAAAGTCTATTAAAGTTTTCACCTCTTATTTATAAAATACGTAATATTTACGTGATGTAAAATACTTTACTTACCAAGAACTAAAAACTCTTAGTTTTGTAGTAAAAATTAAACATAAAATATATTGCAAAATTAATGTAATGAAAAATAACTTTATATTAAAAAGGAAAGGACAATATCTATAGTCAAAACAAATAAACTTTCATACATAGCCTAACTGGCCTGATATGAAATATTTTTTTATAACTAAAACCTCGTAAATAAAATAGCATATATGAATGTTAAAATTAAAACAAATTAGTTGACTTCAAACATCGATATACTATATTGACTTACATTACAACATTTTAAACTCTCATGGACAACCCTGTGGCCTCTTTATGTAACGTACGACTAATCTTTCTCCAATTGGAGTGCATGTCCTGCGAGAAAAATCTTTAAATCAACTTTCGATCCACACTCTTATTTCTTTCTGCATTTTTAGTTTTTGTATTTTCTTATTTTTATATGTAAATCGATCGCGACTGACGTAATTTTAATAAATTTTTGCGCATATGTAATCACTTTTATTTGAATATATTCATCCATTCTGTTTCCGGCTCGATATTGACCTTTCTTATTCTTATTAAAACAAACATTAACTAAGAGTTAATCTGAGACCTGGAACCTCTCGCTTTCCGTGCGATCGCCTTCCCAATTCGGCAAGTGTAAAAAAATTTACTCCTTAAAAAAATATATATTCATATATATTTATTCCGCACAACATCTAGCGCAATGACTCGTGCTCAACTGCTAAATTTCTCGGTTAGTATTAAAATTAAAAAAAAAATACTAATGGTAAAACTTATGTTAAAATAATTTTCTTAGTTTTTACTAATCATATAATTGCTATGTAGACCAAAAAGAACATACATTTGAGAATTTTATTTTTGTAGAAAAACATGATGTAGAAAAACAAAAAAAACAACGCTTGTATCTGTCCGTTGACGGCCGGGCGCAGACAGTATATGTGCAGTAGTCTCCGTTTTTATTTTCTTAGGCTAATATTACATTTGTCGTACGACAAAGATTTTAAATATGTTGATTGGTTATCAGATAGAGTTTTATAAATAACTGTATTTGATAGCCAATCAATATACTTAAAATCTTTTGTCGTACGACAAATACTAGCCTTACGCAAGCATCAAAATATCCATACACATCTCAGTTATTGAGATATTTGTCCTAACTTGCCCTTCAATCCCAATTAGCTCCGCTCTTCCCCATAAAATGACGCATAGAAAAATTGCACTTTTTTTCATAGTTTTTGACGCAGCGAGTGAGATGTATGTATGCACATTCATCTGTAGTAGATTCAAGTTGACTAACAAGAGACAAAAAATTATATTTCATGTGCATTTTGACAGAGAGTTTATAGAACAAATTCAAAATAAGATAGATTTGTAGAGAGGCATTCTTTGGTTTTTCGTAACAAAAATTTTTTAATTGATGAACGAGAGTAGGGCTGTTCAAATCGGTTGCAGTAAATGTCCAACAAAATTAGTACTTCATATGTTTCGACTTTGATTGACTTAAGTAATCTTCAGTGGAATTATCTATAGCATGTGACATAAATGGTAAAATTCAATGGTGACAATACGTGGATTGTTAAGACAGAGAAAAGTTTTGATGTCAAATTCGTGTCAATACGGATTCTCTTTATTTGAGAAAAATTTCGGAGAAACCACCGACACAATTTATACACAATACGTAATTTATTTTTTGCAAAAATGTTATAATATATTTCTCTCTGTGTGTGTGTGTGTGTGTGTGTGATTTAACTCTGGGACCACAACGTGAAGGTAAAACTCTTAAACGTAACATTGCGAGAAAAATGTTTAAAAAATATATTTGCTCTTTATTGCAAGTTTGTTTTATATACTTAAACATATAAATATATTAATGTATAGTTTGTTTTGATAGAAGCAGTTTTGTTTTTGATAATAAAATTACGTTGTGATTTCAGGAGTTTTTCTTTTATATTTTAATCTCCCTGAGACACGCGAAATACACAAACATACACATACATGTATTTGTATAGAGTATCAAGCATAACACAGCTCAAAGATAAAGCTAATTTTTAGACACAAACTGTATACTTCATTGTATTATACTTGCGTCCGCGTTTTCTAATGTTGTTGAACATAGAGTAGAAGAATTATTTAGTCGCTCAATTACAACCGGAGAAAAATTAAATAATCTTTCTGCTATGTAATACAGCCGTTGAATTTCTCACTTTACAATAATCTAGGAATAGAAATAAAACTTTTACATTTATTTGTAATCCAGCTGAGAGAGTAGTTCTGCGCTCTCGTGTCATCCAGATATATACAATAAATTAATACTTTTTGGGGTTTTGCGCTTATAATAAACGGCGTAGTCGTTCTATCGGCTTTGATAAACAACATATCACATTCTGTTCTTTTTTTTGTTTCTATATTTCTCGTCCTATACTTTCAACTATATATTTATATTTGGACAATTTGCGAACTTAATTGTTGAAACACACAAAAAGCATTATTTGTTTTTCATTTCACAAGATTTTCATTCTTTGCCAGTTTTGCTATTGATGCTATTAACTAAATTTGATTTCATTGTGATGCAACAACTTTACGATATACCCGTATTGTAATAATAATTTAATAAAATATCTTGTACTCCCCTTTTCCCTATTTGTGATTAAATAATTAATTAATTTATTGCACATATTCTCTCCTTACGATAGCGCGGGCAGCGTGCTATCAATTTCACAATATTTACACAGTTAAACAAATCTGCAGCGAGATTTTTTTGTACTTAATATTAATTAAATTGTTTTGCTTTCTTTTCCATTTTTACTTGCTATATATTTTTAAACACTCTAATAAAAAAAATTTATATTTGTAACGAACGTTTTTTCTTTTATCTCCTTTTGCACACATCGAGTTTTATAAATATTATTAACACTTAACTGATCGGCCACCTAAAAAAATGGACGGTTGCTAAACAGCACTTATCAGCCGGAAGTCTATTAATCGGCTTAGCGATTAACGAGTCGGAAGTAATCGGTGTATCCGAGCCCGAATAAGTCGGCCGTTGGCAATTCCATTTTTTTTTTTTTTTTTTTTTTGGAACCGGTTAGTTAGGTGTTAACACAAACTTGAAATTTAAATACATTATATATATCACAATCATTCTTCTCACTTTTCTTGTAAATACTGTATACATTTAATGAAATATTTATCGCGACAAAGAATAACAATAGTTATATTAAAAAATCGTGTAAAAACAGCTACAAAGCTACATCGTTTTCATAAACAAAATCTGACACAATCTTTCTTCTCACACATTTCTTTACAACTCTTTTTATCTTTGAATTTTGACAACTTACTAGATAAAACAAAAATCAATATTTTTTTTTTCAGTTAATACGTAGCGCAGTATTAAAAATATAAAAAACGAAATGCAGAAGCACAGCAGAGGCACTGCTTTGGCCGGCATAACATTCGTTTACGTTGTGACAAAAGGATAATTTGGGCAGAACGGCAGGACTAGATCGTCCATATTTGGTAGAACGACTAGTTTCTCAAATTCTCTGAGCAGCTTGTTTTCGATCCACTTGGTCACGTACACAATGTTGACAGTCCTTTCGCCTAGAGCCGGTTGTACAGTGAGATTGATCTTTGGCACGGGTTTAAAACCGTACCAAAGCCGATCAGATGGCGGCGGAGGAATGTTCACCGAGAGACATCCCTCGATACCGGATACATTGACCATCAATTTGATCTCTGTATTGGAAACACCTTCCATCGCTCTTCGTACATAGGACAATTCTGTAGCCTGTATATAAAAAAAATAGATTCTTGGATTCGACCAGCAATTTAATTGACACGAAAATTTGTAATATACATAATTAAAAATTATTGCTCACGTGTCGGAAATATTTGTTGGCTGTTAATTTGTCCACCATGTTGAGAAATTTCTTACCAGAAGATTGCACTAGTCTATAATTTATATAAAAGTGTTTTTAAATTTCAACAAATTTCAATTAATGAGAAAGAAACACGTGTCTTATTAATGAATTAAAAAATATTTATAAAAATCTTGATAAATATTAATAAATTATATTTCAATATATACAAATGCATTTGAGATATTATAAATCACACAATTTGATTTGAACATCTACTTACGTGGTATCTTTTGGTGACGTAACATATGACGCAACATTTCCGACATCCTCGTCTTCTGTGGATGTTTCCGGACTGTCTTCCACGTCGCTATCAAATATCGGCGATCGCGTGGGAATGGATTTTTCTTCAAGAATCTCACCCGAAACACTACTCGCACGTGTTAGTTTCATTAAATTTAACTTCGTTTCCACAGTCATTGTCAAACAGCCTTTGTAGGTAATGTTCAAATCAAGCCAAAGTCCCCGCTCGTCGAAGATTGGCTTGGTGACTTTATCAATTGTCGGAGCGTCTTGGCCAATCACTATTTCGGTCACCGAGAGGCTCTCCATGAAATATGGAAGTTTTATATTAGAAAGTTTGCGTTGTATCTTGTCTTGAATGAGATTGATGGTTTCTCGACAGCTATGCATATCGAACACTAATCGTCCCAGTAGGCAATTCACCCAGAGGACATCATCGTTTTCTTTCGGAGTGCTCTCAGTATCCGTCTGTAAAAAGTACATTTCCCCACGATCAGCATTGTAATAATTATTTTACTTAAGGAAGTTTTGTTTATTAACTCTTTCGCGATATATATATATATGTACTAGCCGCGTCAATATTGCTCCGTTAAACGGGAGACGTCGGGAACAAAATACGATTCCTTCGTTTTACAAAATCTATTTCTTAAATGCTGTTTAGCCACCTGTGGATCAATTTGTTGTCGGATGTAGCCGGCGCTAGCGGCGAAAGGGTTAAAACAAGAAGTTAAATTTGATTACCGTATTGTTTACGTTCAGATACTTGTTCATATAGGTGTTGTAAGTGATTTCGGGTAACGTCTCGAGCGATTTCGTTTCCGCAACGTCTGATTGCACGGACGTTGCATTCGCGCAGGATACGGAATCGTTGATGGAACAAGTCGATTGCCGTTTTTTCGAAAGCGATGCCGCCGATGTCAATCTGCGAAACCTAAAGAATAACATTTGTCGAAATCAATAATAATCAAAAGAAAATCCGAATTAATTTTAAATTATGGATTTGAAAAGCGTTCCAGAGAGAAATGCGTTTACCAATCTTCTTTCTCTCGATCGGCACGAGCAAACACATAAAGTTTGTATTTAATCATTTCCTCGTCATCGCGACAATCCTCATAGATACTTTTAAGAGACTTCGATTGCGAGATATCGTCGTCGTCATCATCTTCCTCGACTTTTGACTCTTCCTCCTCGTTATCTCTAAAAAGTTCCAGTCTGGAATCTTCATCTTCGCTCTTCGTTTCTTCGCCCAAAGTGCTCTCGTCGCCTTCCTGACCATTTTTCTTCTCATCGTCGAAGGATTCTTTTCCAAGATCCGTCCAGTCGCTTAGCATCGAGTTATCTATTAATTGTCCTCGATCTATCGTGATGCAGATTGGATATTTTTTGCTCCATCTCCTACGTACGAAACAAATATTCTATGAAATCAGTTTTAAAAAATTAATAAATTAAATAAATGACTTGTAACGTGATTATACCGTCTCCGAATAAGTCCCTCCGGTAACAGTTCTACTTTTGCACCAACTATGTTGTACACGCGTTTTCTGGTAAACTTGAATTTTCGTTTAGGCTCGTCCCACACAGTCCTCTTTGGCACTCTCATTCTGGTCTCCGTAACGCGTAACGTACTACCCTCCAAACTGAAATAAACCGATTTTGTGCGCGCCACGTGATAGTTGTGTGGATCGTAAGTATACGGTAGTTCATTCAACCACCCTTCGTATCTTTCCTGAACCGCGTGCTCCTCTGCCGCCGGTATCTCCAATACCGGTATTACAGTGTGTGCTAGTTTCTCATCTAATGGTGTTGCCAGAATTTCTTTGATTTTATGCATCAACTTATACACAGCCATCGTGACAAAAACTCCTATGAAAAAACCAACCAAGTGTGCGGGCAATGGTATGAGAAAGCAAAAAGCGAATATGAGAACCAGCAGTGCAGCTAATTGCTTTGTCAGTTGCTGAAGTACGTAATCTTTTAGTCGGGAAAGCAACGAGCTAAATGGTATTTCCTTTTTTGTTCGAACAAGATTGTCCGAATGCCCGTAAAAATTATGACGATTCGCGAGATCATTTGTTTTATCCTCGGCGCGAGAATCGTCTTGTAATTCGAAGAGAAGCGGTTCGGGAACGGGCTCGGAAAACTCAGAGGCTTCTACACCGCTTTCTACACTGTCATCCTGAGAATTTTTGGTTTTTAAACCGGTTCTCACCTGAGAAAAGCCAACGAATCTCGAGGTATTGCTTTTGTGACGAGCCAATTCCTTTTCTTGTTTCTCATTGACGATCTCATCAGTTGGCGTGACATCTCCTGGATCTTCCGAATCACTAAAGCTAGAATTATCTTTATTACCTCTTTTTTTCTTCTTATCATTTTTTATCTCAGAGAGCTTCTCCTCAAACGTTTTTGTGATTTTTCCTTTGATTTCGGACAGCATCTTCCATGGATCTGAAGACGGAGGAGTACCCTCCGACAGATTGCTGTCAACGGAACGCCTTTCCGATTCATTCTCCATTCCTTGGTTCTCGTTTTCGCTATTTCTAGAAGGACTTGATGGAAGTTTTGCCTTTTCAAATTCTGGCGTGAGACATTTCTCATCATCAGAGGAACTTGGATATAGTTCTTCGAGTTCATCATTGTCGGCTCGATAATGAATTACCGGCACGGATGTGGTAATTGGTTTGCCTTTTGTGAAAATATGCGAATTAGAAAAATTCAAAATTTATAAAAGTATATATATATATATGTATGTGCGCGCTCTTAATGTTAATTAACACACGCATTTTATTCCGACCTACCTTTCATCATGCCTAGCGTAATTTTTCCAGGACTGTGTTTGTTACTCATCGTTACTTGTAACTAGCAGCTGTTGTATCAGAAGCTTATCAATGACGACATTGAACTAGATATTTTGTAATCTGTAAAGATTACAGAACATATATCTTGAATGTTTATTTACAACAATGACATCAATTGTCGCTGAAGCAGCGACGATGTAAGTTAGATAATCGAGATAGCGTTTTCGGCACATCGAACACCGATTTTCCAGCAACAATGACCAATAATAACTAACAATTTAACACTTGACATATCTTGACCATCTGACACCATCTGACTGATCTGACACATTCGATAGTTATTCGCTTCGCGCTGTATCTTTAAAACCAATACGCAATGAAGATAACAAAAACATGTAACATGTCGATTTGGGCAGGTTCGCAACGATTGCGATAGCCGGATTTACAACGTCAAAATTCATTGGTTAATTTTGACAAATCGACTATGCTGCGTTCAATTTGAGAAGAGAATTTTACTGTGTATAGGAGAAAAAAGCGGGCAAATTGGAGATAGCGTTGCGTGCGGAATTGGCGGGACACCCGCTGACACCCAATGGCTGTGGAGTGGACGAGCTTTCTGGCAAGAAAGTTGCGCGAAATGGACGATTGTTTGTTTATCCGGCTTCTCTTCTTAAATTGAACGCAGTATAGACGCCACATTACGAGCATTTGGGTCCAAATCTAATTGGTTCAGACTCGATTTCTTCATACCTCCCGATAGCTATTCTCTGGATAAAGATTATACACAAAAAGATATACTTTATCTTTTAGAAAAAGTTATCGAGAACTTATCAGAGGTGAAGTTAACCACTGCGCATTCATGGGACTGTCGCATCTTGTTTTTTGTTTTTTACTACACTGTGCATTCGCTTTTAGTGCAGTTCTCTGATGCAGAGGGAAAGAACAAACCTGTGGTTATTTATAGACAGATGATTATTCAGCATTTTGAACAAAACTCGTTATATTTGTATTTATTCCTCTTTGCTGTGGCCCATTGCAAAGTGAGTACATTATACTTTGCTCTTTTTGTAATTTGGATCAGATTAGATAGTATTCCTGATAGTATTCCTCATAGGTTTTTTTCCTTACAATTTTTCTTACAAATTTTTTTAAAGAAATACAGCGATTTAACTTGACTGACTTGACCTACCTTAACCCAGTGCAAATATATTTCAGAGCAGTATATGTTCTTTATGAACAGCATAGGCGAGACATGCAACGAATTGAAGCAACAGTATGACTCCTGTTTTAACACGTGGTTCTCTGAGAAATTCTTGAAAGGTGACACGAATGACAGCACATGCTCGCACTTATTCAAAATGTATCAGCAGTGCGTTAAGGTAATTGAAACAAACTTTGTATTTTTACTTGTATCTTTAGGAAGAGTTCGCAAGTGTATAACGCATGAAAGAGAGAGGGAGAAAAAATAAGAGTATACAATACAATGGAGGATTGCAGTGAGTTGAAACAGAAGTACGATGCCTGTTTCAATAGTTGGTTCTCTGAAAAGTTTTTAAGAGGGGACACCAACGATTCTATGTGTGCCTCCTTGCTTAAAGTCTATAAAGATTGTGTAGCGGTAAGTTTTAAGAAAATTCTCCCTTCTCAAATAGTTATTTGCTTATGTGAGGTGCCAATTCTAATAAGTTTTACACATCATTTCAGATAAGATCAAGCAATGTAATGTCAATCATTTTGTTGTTGGTTTTTTTATGTTTTAGAAAGCCATGAAGGAACATCATATTGAACTCAAGGACATGGAGACAAATTACTTGGAAAGTGATAAAGAAAAAAAACCTCACAGTTGACAAGCTCACACTTCAATTCTATGTAGCTTCTTTATGAATCAGTAACGATGCAAATGGTAAAACTACCTCGATCATTCCTACTTTTTATTCTGAAATGATGAATAATGTTAATTTAGATTTAGTTTCTCCCATCTGTTTATTTTTACCGAGGTAATTAATCGCGATCATGTCTCTTGATTATCACAACAAATATGTACATTTTTGTTTGTAAAGTTTTTATTAGTTCATATCAAAGTTTTGTCATAGAGGCATTGGAACAAAATCTATATAAGAAAACAAACTTCAAATTATTGTTGAATGAATGTGGAAATTTATAAATAATCTGTACAAAAAAAACATGTAGGGCCGATTGTTCCACCTTCCGGATAAATCTCAGCTTACTCGACGGGTTATCTATAGGATAGGAACCTTACTAGCGCAACCTCCACTGTTTTCTATTTCTACATATTCATCTGTTAGATACGACTTACACAATACCGAGAGTGCCGTATAATATTCTCTTTTGGTTTCTAGTCATTTACCAGATAAATAAATTTTATTGAAACAACAACGCAAATTAGAGTTTTAACCATTAGATAGATTACCCGATACTTTTATCTGAAGATGGAACAACCGGTTTTTATGTAAAAAGGATAAAAATTTCCTTTACAAAAAGGACACGTGTAACTATGTAAATCGTTTCATTCAGATCTCAATAATATAATTTAATTACAAGAGGTGACGTACATGTAAATTTTTGTGATATTTCCTTATGATATAAGAGTGTTGTAAGCAATACTGGTAAAGGGCCTTCTACAATAAGATATTAGTAATAAATCAGAAGTCAGAAGCAAGAAATTGACTAATCACAATCGATTATTCTTCTGTGATTTGACTGTGATTGGTCAATTTCTTGTTTCTGACTTCTGATTTATTACTAATATCTTGTTGTAGAAGGAAAAATCTCCCTTCGATCCGGGTAAACTCTTCGTGGTGTCTTTCTTCTTCTCCGTTTTCTCCTTTTCTTTAGATTTACTGGCTCCGCTCGCTTCGTATTCTTTCATCGACGCCGCGTATTCTTTTTTAGCTTTGGCAGCTTTTGCTTCCCATTCCAGACTTGTCTCTAAGCTCCCGCCACATTTCGCCACCTTTCTTCGTGATTTCCGTCACGGCAATTCCAGGATTGTCCGCCTTAATTTTTTCACGCGCACTGTTACGTGCCGCGATCCCTGTCGCCGCTCAAGTTACGATTTTATCTACTTCCTTTGTTGACACATACGACCTGCCGAAATCATAAACTAATAAATACAGCCCGATAAACTTCCTCTCCTTACAAACCCTCTCTCTAAATTCCTTCGTCGCCCGTTGCATGAATCTATGACTCACTAAAAGACAAATATTACGGGGATTCGATTGAGAGCGCTTGAGCGATAGAGACGTAGGACTGAGTTGTCCTCACCTTTACCTCTCCCTTCTGCTTGTGCGAGCTTTATTGCATGCGTGCTTGTGTTTTGTTGAAAGTGAGTGTCCTTTTGTTTCTTAAAATCTTTTATAAAAGAGTTGAAATTTGCATTGCGGTTGGCTTATTGCGCTTGGTGCCGGGGGTAACCTCAACTTCCCGCCAAAATCTTTCTCTTTGCTTAGAGCTTTAGTTTGTTTTTTTCGGTTTCCATCGGTTAGTTAACGATGGGAACTGAGTTAGGAGACAACGTTCCTTCTCAGGAACCAGTTTTAGTCGAAGGTAACCCTCCTTCGTCCCCTGGTAGTCAGACTCTCGGGCAAGTGGATGCCCGAGCGTCTCAATCTTTGCATGTGATGGCCAAAGAGGGTGCAAGTACGCGTCTTGCAAAGAAATGACACTCTGTGGAGTCCCCTTCTCTTTCCAAGAGGGCCTACTCTCCTCTATCAGAGTCCCAGAAAGCCCTGACCCTTAATAGGTATGAACCTGAGTCGTCGCGCCCTTTCCTCGTGTATGACGAAGTGATTGAGAGTACCCCTGCCACCTTTGATCGCGGGGAGGCAGGCAGTCGAAGCGTGATTAGCGTCCTGGGTCTAGGTAAGCGGCTAAACAGGCTCATGTGTGAGCCGTTTCAGCATGCCTATGACCTTAAGACTGTGGGAAAAAATAAGTTCTCGGTGGTTTTTCCTAGCTGGTCAAAAGCTAACTGTTTTGTAGAACTCTTCCTTACTGTGAGCGGGGCAATCACTCCTGGTGGTTGCTGGTACGCTTTTATCTTTAATTTCCCTAATTTCCGGGTCATTAAGCAGTATATCCTAAAGGGTGTTGACGATGATGACACCGAGGAGGATGTGATGACAGGTATTAAGCCCCCACCCGGGTGGGGGGTTTCGTGGACTCCTCCCGTTGAAGTGGTCAGACTTCAACGCAGGGTTTATGGAGAATCGGGCACCCTCCCGTCTCTTGTCAGTACTAACAGCTATCTTCTACGTTTTAGGACCAAGACGGTTCCGCAGTCTTGTATTTATATGGGTAAGAGATGTTTTCTCCAACCCTATATCTACAAGGTGCGCAGGTGCAACTTTTGCCAGAGGCTGGGTCACGTGGAGTCCTCGTGCAAACAGGTCACCTCTGGTAAACGACTCTGTGAGAGATGTGGCAAGTCAGGCCACTCAAAGTCTGACTGTGTCAGCAAGGACTATGAATGCATTAATTGCGTTAGACTCAAGTACAGTGACTGTAAACATCAGGCTTCGGATCCAAAGTGCCGTGCCTATTTCAGACAAAAGAGTATTCATAAACTTATGGCTATTAAAGATTTGACATACAAAGATGCGTCCGCTCTCTTAGACAGGGGCCGCGTTAGCCCTACTCAAGACGCTTGGAGCAATAATTCCTCTGTGCCGTTTCCTACTGTAGGAAAATTTATCTTAATTTGTTTAATTTAATAGCGACCTCTTACATCCGAAAGGGTTATCACATGCGATAGTTGTATAATATCGATTGTAATGATCGATAGTAACTCTTAAGAAGTCGAACAGGCGGCGCTGAATCGACCAGCCGGTTACGACGGTTATAGCCATGTGGCAGAAGAGCTCCGTACCTCGTGTGAAGATCAAAGTGTAATAATTTGCTCTTTCTGAACGGTGCGCGCTCAACTCGAACAATTAGTCGTATTGATTGTTAATTCGGAACATTACCTTGTTAATTAATTATAATAGTATCTGTAAGTGCGGTATATTTAAATTAAACTGTTTTTATATCGTTTATTTCTTGCATTACTTTTAATATTACTGTTACGTTCTGGACTCCACGGTCCCCTTCTGTTTGGAGCCAGACATTAACTAGCTTTAAGATTTGCGCCTTAGAATTAATTTTTAAGTAACAATCCTTGAGCAGAGAACAGAGGACCTATTGAACTAAGATAAAATCCGTATCGCAATTTTTTATCTAATCACTCTTGCC